AAGATCGGTTTTCTTAAAAGAGTAAATTTTTTTTGTAAAATTTGCTTACATCGCAGACTTACTGATAACCTAATTTTTCTTCTCTTTCACTGGTGTCTTTAGAATATATAAAATCTTAAAATTTAAGAATATTGTGAAGACTGCGAAAGCTTTTAATCGAAGTAATATATTGGCGTCTTAGTTTGGTTTTTGTTTTGATTATAAATGTTTTAAAGTTTGTTACGGTCGTTAACCTCAACGCCACAGGTTAAGTCGACTTGTTTTTTGATTAGGAATGGATAAATGTCTAGATCCTAATGTGGGAGTAAAACTTCCTAGTAGAGGCCAAACCAGTGTACCAATTTCTATTTCAAACGAAGACGAAAGCTAACTTCGGCAAGCCGAAGTTTTAATACCCTTGCAGACTTTGCCGAAATTGCTAAAACTGAAAAAGTAGCGAAAGGAATAAGCTATACATAAATAAACTAGATTTGCATCGTTTGATGTCAAATGCTTTTATACGGCATAAATGTGATATAAAAATAGAAAACAAGAGAGAACGCTATAGTCGAGTGCCTCGACTATTAGATACCCGTTACTCCGTTTCCTTTAATAGAAATCCTTATCGAGAATTAACGTTAACTCTGTTGAGCACCTTGGAGAGCTGTTCCAAAATCATCCGGTAGATGGCGCCATGAAAGGCGAAATGTAGGCGATAACCAGGCTTAAGCGTTTAATGGGTTTTTGGGCGTTAGAGTGGGCGTGGCAAACTTTTATTAGGACAATCGATAGGTATTGACGAAACAAATACATATCAATTAAAATTTTCATAATAGCATCAAAACTGTGGCCACAGCTTGTGGCTTGTGGGCGTCAGAGGGGGCGTGGCACCATTTTGAAACAAACTTGCGCTGCGTAGGAACTCCTAAAATCTACATGCAAAATTCCAATCTTCTAGCTTTTATAGTTTCCGAGATCTCAGCGTTCATACGGACGGACAGACAGACGGACAGACGGACATGGCTAGATCGACTCGGCTAGTGATCCTGAACAAGAATATATATACTTTATAGGGTCGGAAACGCTTCCTTCTACCTGTTACATACTTTTGCACGAATACAATATACCCTTTTACTCTACGAGTAACGGGTATAAAAAGGGATACTTTCGCAGCCTTTAACAATTTTTCCTACGGAAGCTATACGATATAGACGTCCGATCAGCAAGCGCTTTTACCCTAATCAAGATATGCGTAAATAAATAAAACTTGGAAAAATTTATGTCAGTAGCTTACACACTGTGCGAAAAATTCTGAAAATCATCAAATTTGGACCGATTTCACCCCATTGTTCCTATGGGAGCTATAGGATATAGAGGCCCGATCGTCACGCGTTTTTACCCTAATCAAGGTATGCATAAAAAAATACGATTTGAGAAGATGCAAACGGTATTGACACAGACGGACAGACGGACGGACGGACAGACGGACATGGCTATATCGAATCCTCTATTGATTCTGATCAAGAATATATATACTTTATGGGGTCGGAAACGTCTCCTTCTGACCAAAATTATACTACCCTCTGCAAGGGTATAAAGACTAACTTCTTCTAGGTGATTTTAATATACCTGGAGTTACCTGGTCCACTGAGGATGGATCGAATGTCTTACTTTCTATAGCACAACATGATTTTATTGACGGCCTGCTTGACATATCCTTATCTCAAGTAAACCATGTTCGAAATTCACTCTTCACAGTCGCCTTCTTGATTTGGGTTTTGTATCAAATCCTGAAGGTGTGCTTCTGTCCACAGTAGCACCACTCACGCAACCTAAAGTTCCATCCAATCGAACTTTCAATTGACACGGGTAGAGTTATAGAAGAAAAATCAGAAAAATCATCCAAACGAATACATTGTTTTCGCAAGGCAGACTATCTGAGGCTAAATCATTTTATTTCTGGCTTTAATTGGTTTGATCTTTACTTATGCAATAATATGTCCGATCCAGTTAATGTTTTTTACACTGCAATAAACTCATTTTTTAATTCCTGTGTTCCGTAGTACTATCCGTCAATTGCCAATAAATCACCTTGGTTAAGCACAGAGTTGACACACTTAAGAAATGTAAATTTTATTTCTGGATTTAATTGGTCTGATCTTTACTTATGCAATAATATGTCCGTTGCAGTTAATGTTTTTTACACTGGAATGAACTCATTTTTTACTTCCCTGTGTTCCGTTGTACTATCCGTCAATTTCCAATAAATCACCTTGGTTTATCAAAGAGTTTACACACTTAAGAAATGTTTTGGACTTTACATTTCCTTTTTGGAAATATAAAAATATTGGTTCTCAATCTGTTTTTACTAGATATTTAACTGCTCGGTTAAGATTTACCGTGCTTAATGCTCAGTGTTATAATAGTTACTTAAACCGTTGTAAGGTCTCTCAGGACCCGGAACAGTTTTATAATTTTGTTAACACCAAGCGTAAATCTAAATCTTTTCCTTCCTCGCTGTCGTTCGAAAACATGACGGCAACCACAGATCAGGCAATAGCCGTTTTATTTGCACAATTTTTTTAACAACATACTTTACTTTAGATTATTCATCACAGCCTTATTCTTAAACCATATCCAAGTCAAACCTCATATTCTGTCCCACTTTAACAGAAAGGGGTCTTCTTTTGGATCTTCTTCATATTAAGCCTGTTTATTCGCCAGGGCCCGATGGTTTTTCTGGGTGCGTGCTTAGGTATTGCGCTAGGGCCCTGTGAAAACCTATTCACGAGTTTTTTACCCAATTCCCAAATATTTGGAAGGAATAATTTGTTATTCCTCTTTTCAAAAAAGGTAACAAGTTAGAAGCCAGTAGCTATTAGAGCTTTTTGAAAAAATCATTACTCCTCATTGGCAGCACCTTTGTAGACCAATAATTTCTCCGTGTCAACACGAATTTATTAAACATTGATCCACAATCACTAACCTTCTGGAGCTTACTACATTTGTCATAAAGGGCTTCAATAGTAGTTTTCAAGCCGGCGTCATTTCCATTGACTTTAGTAAATCATTTGACTCAGTAAATCATTTACTTCTTGTCCAAAACCTTGACCTGTTAGGTTTTCCAGTTGATCTGCTTAAATGGATTTCAAGTTATCTAAATGGCAGGTCACAAAGGGTCCTTTTTAAGAATTCAATTTTTGAAATTCTCCGTGTTACCTCCGGTGTCCCACAAGGGACCCATCTGGGTCCGCTACTTTTTACATTATTTATTAACGATCTTCCCTCAATTATAGGTCATTTTCGCGTACGCGTGTACGCAGATAATGTTAAGTTACGCCTGCAGTATAAGGACATTCATTTCCTGCCATTTAAACTTACAATCCGATCTAGATAACTTTCAAAACTGTTGCCGAGATAATTTACTAAATTTAAACGGTTCAAAGTGCAAGCTGATGACTTTTTATCGGGTCAATCCGATATACGCGCCTTACACGTTAATTGCCAGTTCTTTGGATAGAATAACTCTTGTAAACGATCTTTTGGACTCGAAACTAAAATTTTCGAATCACATTTTGTTCATGGTTAATAAAGCCAAAGGAGTCCTTGGATTTATTAAAAGTTGATCAAAAGAATTCGATGATCCTTATTTAACTAAATTTTTATATATTTCGTCCGTCCGCCTAAACTGGGATGCAAATCTTAACTTACCTTCTTATTCTAGTAGACTTCTGTTGATTAATTTACCATCCTAGCCAACCGTAGAACGATGCTTGGTACTACTACTACTTGCTAAGTCGGCTAAACTTTTCTGTGCCAAGTAGATTAACTAGAAATTATATTCCCCTAATTTTAAATCATTGTAGATCTTCTAACTATGCCTTGCAGACTTTTCCTGTAATCTCAAATCTTGGCTCTCTGCCGCTCCTAAAACGAGTAATACTAATACTAATACTAATACTAATACTAATACTAAGTCCACCAAATCTTGACAAATCTTGAGGGGAATCTGGCCCCGTGGCTCCTGCACAAATTGCCAAAGCTGCACCTTAGAAGTTGGGGACTTCTTTGATACGTAGCGCCTAATGTCACCCAGATGTTTTTAATGGGATTTAAATCCGGAGACTGTGCTGGCCATGGCATTACATCAACTTTTTAATTACTAAACCACTCCTTGGCCAACTTGCTGGTATGTTTAGGATCATTTTTATGCCGAAATGTCCAACTTAATGGCATCTATTCCACAGCTTACGACAGTTTTTGGTATTTGTACATAAGCATGTCGGTGTCACTTAAAGCACCGACTGCTCTTAAGTGGTTAAGAAAACTTCAAACCAAATCAGCTTTGGTTGTTGTTCTGCAAGCGGATGGTGCCTGCATACCCTACCAATTAAGAGCAGTCTGTGTTTAAAGTGACACCGACTGCGATATGCCCTGTTCCTATATCACTAGATTGATTTCTATTGGAATACTTACATATATGCAAAACATTTTACTGCTGGCACTGATTTGAAATATATTATAACAAATAATATTATATATTTATCATTAACCCAATAGTGAATACGCCCATATTGTTAGGGTACACATTATGAAAAGTAGCAAAAGACAAAATATTCTTGCTGCATCGAATTTAAATAAACGCACACATGCACCCCTGTATGAGAATGCATGAACACGCATACATATAAGGACCAATTGAAGAGCAGGCGCAACCTTCTTCAAAATGCGCCTCTCTGCGACTGAACGACCGAACTCGTGCAATGAGTCTGCTAATAGCCCTGCGACCTGTCGCTAAGAAATTTGTGTGTCCATTTGCGTTGTATGAAATGAATAGTCTATATGTTGTATGGTTATTGTATGTATTGGGCCAGCAAAGCGCCTTAAAGTAAAGTTGCACTACGATACCTAACCACAGGTTCGGTTTTTCTATTAGTCGCATTCTAGTTTTAGTCAAATGTTTGTGACGCAGTAGAGAGGCATTTAAATAAAACTTTTTCAAATGTCTTTTTTTATTGCAGGTTGTAAATAAGTCGGAACGGGAAGAATAAGTCGACCATATCACGTAGCTTCTAAAAATAAGTGAAACAAATTCATAATTTCGTTGTTTTTAACATGGAGGAAGGAGTCCATTATCATATATTTACCATAAGAAAGATAACAAAATGTTGAGAAAATTCGATATATCTTTATTGTTTTTAACACATACACACAAACTCTCTTTCATATTGAAATATTTTTTTTAACTGCATTCCTTATTTCAAAATTAACATCCCCGTATAAAAATATTACTTTTCTACTAACTGTGTTTTAAGTTGACCCTATTCGCCGCCCAATAAATCAAAGTTAGAAAATGTTATGCCACCCTAAATGTATTTGACGAAAACTATATGTATAACGGGCTTATTGACTTTAAAGTCAAATACCTGCTCTATTATACATTTTTATTTTGAATTTATTGACAAAATTGGCTCTCAGCGGGTTTCTTATAATGCCCATTTTAATTAGGATGCCTCAAAAAACGGAAGTTTCCATTCTGAATGAGATTCACCAAAAAAAATCAATATTCATTTTAGAAATCTCTTTTCACCAAGTTTATACTTAACTCTAATTTAATTTGTTATTAAAATGGTATTCGTCTTTACCTATTAAAAAAGAAATAAGTTTTCCGTTGAAGAACGAAACATTGGTCTCAAACTGCTGGTTGAAAGCACGTAAAATTGCACAAGCCGTTTTGAAATGGCACTCATTACTTAAAGGTTCATAACAAACTACTTTTTCGGGTCTAAAAAGTCCAGACTTGATCGGCCGAGCAAGTTAGAAAACACCCAGAAAACAAATTTTGAATAGTTCAGAAAATTTCTAAAAAAACACTTTTAAAACCATTTTGGAAAAACATACAGGGTGAGCCATATATTATGGGCCGATCTAAACATTGAATAACTTAAAAGAAAAACAAAACGAACAAACTAACATTCTCGCTGTTTGTCAGTAGATGGCTCTAGCAGTAAGAGTTGGTCGATTTTGACATATCAAAAACGTCACGAACCAAGCTTAGACATTTACTGTTTTGACGTTTCCAAAAAATGTCTGATCAAGCTAATCGGTCGATATTTGAGAATAATATTCAATGTCGGCCCACAAATGATGGCGCACCCTGTAGTTGTAAAGCTATCTGGATTGAATTTTCCAAAAAGTTTTCTTTCTATTGCAGGACCAAGTTATTAGTATGAGACGAGCCGAATCCGACTATTTTATATAGATGCTATAGAACTTTATTGTATTTTAATACATACAATTATACTCCGAGATATAAGTTATTGCTAAATTATTACTGTTTTGGTCTAGTCGCGGAAAATTGTGGAAACGTTTACACTACAGCCACATCTTCAAACCGTTGGTAGGCTCTGTGGTATTTTTCTGAATGCCCAACATTTGAAGAATATTGCGTTAAAATTTAAGATTGATCCGAGTAAAACTTCCGAGGTTATGGGCAGTTGAACTTAGGTGAGTTAGCTCGTTTTATATGCGATTTTTGGGTGTCCAAAACTTTAAAACGCTCTCCTGAAAAGTTGCCATTTCAAAGTCGGTAAGCACGATCCTACAAAATCTACTGGACGAATCGTTTTGAAATTTTTCACACAATTTCTGTTTCTAAGTCCTTCTGTATCTAAGTGTTACCAAAAATCCCAAAAAATGAATAAAAAAAAAACTCAACGTAGTTACTTTTAGAAACATCTTGACTAATAATCAATATTTTTTTTGTTTTTTCTGATGATCCACTAACGAGTTATGCTGTTCACCGCAAACCCTTTTTTGCTGCGAACGGCTTATTTTATATTTTTTTCGATGAAAATTTTGTGAAAATATAGTTTAAATGTTGTACTTTAATATGCTTATAAAATAATTGATCTGACATTAACCGTATCGTTTGAAAAAATTCATGAAAAGAGGCCCTTTTTTGGCCGAATTAGCCATACCCCCCCGCCTTGTAGTGTGCTTAAAATCTGAGAAGAAATTTAAAAAAAACCTAGACATCGTTACCTGGGGAAATTGGTCCTTTAAATAATGCAATTTGTAAAATATCTACGTTGGGGTTAGGAGTAATTGATGCTAATGAAGCGAAGTTGTATTTAATAGTACCGATATGACAAATGCACTGTATATAATGTTTTTATAACATGTGTAGGCCTGTGCAAGAAGTCATCAAAGATGAAATCTTCGTTTCAAAACATATTAAAAGGCTTTAAAAAATTGTTTTATATAAATTGTTATTTCCAAAAAACCGTATATTCGAAAAGAACTTAAAAATGTCATTTATCTAGTTAAAAAATTTTCCTTGTAGTGTTATTGAATTTTCCTCAAATTGATTGCTTTTGCTGACTACAATAATTTTTAAAAAAATTTAAAAAGTTATGGCATAAAAATGCCAATGTTTAAAAATGTATTTTTATTGTGACGATTCCATCATTACATTACAACTTCATCCGAGCATGCATATACTAACTTAATAAGGAAAAACATTAGTAAAGCTTCATTTAAAGCTACTATCAATGTTAATATCGAGGGCAACATCGGTAATGATGAATTGTTTAACTTATTACTTACTTGTATTTTATGTGATTCAATCTTTATAATGGATTGTTAAAAGGTTATTTTAATAAAACGCACAAATAATGTATATCCAAGAAAAAATAAAGACTTATTGAGCTGATGCCTTTCGGGTTCGTCGGTGCCTTAGGGCTGCAGGTTCGTGTGAAAGAATTTTCAGTTTACATTGCTTATTCTTGCATTAAAATTTACACAGTTCGTTTTATAAACGGTCTGAAAAGGTTACTGCTCCAAAAACACTGTTGAAATAGTGTTTTTTTATACCTGTGATATTCTCTGTTTATTAAGAACCCTTCACAAGATAACATTCTCAAGAAGGACCCTTGCGATATGAAGGTGATGTCCAGGACCCAGCTTAGATTTTTACACATAGAAATTCAAAAAAAAAACAAATATATTATGATCAATAGGAACATTTCGAAGATTTAAAACGCAAATTAACAATATTAAATTAATATAATTAAGATACGGTAGTGGGTTTGAATAAAGATAGGCAACGCTGATATTTCAAACTGTCGGGTATATTTTTGTCGTGTGGTTTTTAAAAAGAAATAAAACGCATATAATATATTGTTTTGTCCAAGAATTTAGTCTTATTAATTCGGGAATTTCAAATTTTTACAAACAAATTTTGTTCCGCGATGAAGCTAACTTTTGGTTGACCGGGTACTTAAAAAAAACGAAATTTAACTCCTATTAAAAAAGAAAAATGAATTACCGAACTTAACAAATAATAGTGTCCAAAAAATTGTATTTTGAAATGTTAACACATATTGTTTTAAATATTATTTTTTAATTTCTTTTGCAGACTTTAACAACAGCATTCCGGCAGCACGACACTGATATGGATGGGATTATAACCATACATTATGAACAATTCTTAAGCATGGTTTTTGCGTTAAAAATATAGCTTAAGCAATCAAAGTCAAATTTAATAATACAAAATAAAAATATTCTGTTCAACAAGTCAATTTTGTACTGCTGGTGTTTTATTTGGGGATACAAAAGGTAATCCTGTTCACAAGACTGCGAAACCCTTTAATAGAAGTAATACATTGGCTTGTGAGTTTGGTTTTTATTTTGATTAGAATTGTTTTAAAGTTTGTTACGGTCGTTAGCCTCAACGCACCAGGTTAAGTGGTTTTTTTTTATTAGTGTTGGCATATCCAAAACGTCACGAACCAAGCTTAGACATATGGTAAACAAACTGCTGCGACACATGAGTGATTTTGTTTTCGCATTATATACTTCTGGTTAAGTAAAAATGTCTAGTTTTGTGCCAAACAATCGTCATTTGAGGGAAACGTCATTGAGGAAAAACGGCAGCTCAAGGGCATCGAGAGCTGCAAAGAGTGTACGGAAATGCTGCTCTGACCGAAACAACATACCGTGATTGGTTTTGTCGCTTCAAAGTCGGTGATTTTGACGACCGTCCTCGTGAAGGAAGGCCCAAAACCTTCGAAGACGCTAAATTGGAGGCCTTGCTCGAAGAGGATTCGTGCCAAACTCAAGAAGAGCTTGAGTGGTTCCACTAACATTTAAATGCTGAGCCCAGTGTCGATACGACTCTCCTGGGCTTTCGGCAACATTCACTCTCACTGCCTCAACCAAATCAGCTGAGCGTCTTGAACGTTCATGAACTGCATGTGGACGGTCTGCCACAGTACCAAATTCAGCAAAATTTGTATAAATTTTACTTATGCAATAATATGTCCGATGCAGTTAATGTTTTTTATACTGCAATAAACTCATTTTTTAATTCCTGTGTTCCGTGGTACTATCCGTCAACTTCCAATAAATCACCTTGGTTTAGCAAAGAGTTGACACACTTAAGAAATGTAAAGTCCAGACTTTTTAGGAAATATAAAAATACCGGTTCTCAATCTGTTTTTACTAGATATCTAAGTGCTCGGTCAAGATTTACCGTGCTTAATGCTCAGTGTTATAATAGTTACTTAAACCGTTGTAAGGTCCAGTTCTCTCAGGACCCGAAACAGTTTTATAATTTTGTTAACACCAAGCGTAAATCTAATGCTTTTCCTTCCTCGCTGTCGTTCGAAAACATGACGGGAACCACAGATCAGGCAAAAGCCGATGTATTTGCCCAATTTTTTCAAACGACTTACTCTACTTTAGATTATTCATCTCAGCCTTATTCTTACACCATGCCCAAGTCAAACCTCATATTCTGTCCCACTTTAACAGAAAGCTCTCTTCTTTTGGATCTTCTTCGTATTAAGCCTGTTTATTCGCCAGGGCCCGATGGTATTCCTGGGTGCGTGCTTAGGTATTGCGCTAAGGCCCTGTGCAAACCTCTTCACAAGTTGTTTACCTTATCTCTAGAAACGTCCCAATTCCCAAATATTTGGAAGGAATCATTTGTTATTCCTCTTTTCAAAAAAGGTAACAAGTTAGAAGCCAGTAACTACAGAGGTATTTCTAAGTTGTCAGCTATTCCTAAGCTTTTTGAAAAAATTATTACTCCTCATTTGCAGGACTTTTGCAGATCAATTATTTCTCCGTGTCAACACGGATTTATTAAACGTAGATCCACAATTACAAACCTTCTAGAGCTCACTACATTTGTGATAAAAGGCTTCAATAGTAATTTTCAAACAGATGTCATTTACACTGACTTTAGTAAAGCATTTGACTCTGTAAATCACTTACTTCTTATTCATAAACTTGACCTTTTAGGTTTTCCAGTTGATCTGCTTAAATGGATTTCAAGTTATCTAAATGGCAGGT